AAACAAAATCAGATAAATTTACACCATTTAAATTGACATTTAATTTCAGTTAGCTTTTTTGTAGCTTAACAATTTAACAAACAAATAAAGGGTTGCATAAAATTTTAAATGAAAACCTCTAAACCCTCCCATTCTCATTCACCTCTCAGATGTCAAAGGCTACCATGGGACAACTTTGGCCCGCAGACCCTAGTTTGGGCATCTTTGCTTAAACCTAATTGTTATTAAGGAAGAGCAACTCATTCTAAATTGCATAAATTCAAATGAATTAGCCACTAAATCAAAAAAATACTAATGGCTTTCAGATTGTGTTGTAGCTATTATAAGCCAGGTAAACACAAACTAATAAACAAAAAATTTAGAGTACGGTACATGCATTGATTGGTTTTCCAGCAAATATAATAATACAATGTTAAAAATGATTGCTACATGTTGTTACAAAGTTTGCAGCACTATTAAAAAACTAAAATTGTGTGAGGGTAATAAAGTTGTCATTGTGTATTTAGTGTCCTCTTAGACTTTCCTCAGTTAACAATGCAGTTAAAACTAAAAAGCATTTAAATTCATTCATTCATTTTCTTTTGGCTTAGTCCCTTTATCACCTGGGGTCGCCACAGCGGAATGAACTGCCAACTTATCCAGCATATGTTTTATATTGCAGATGTCCTTTCAGCTGCAACCCAGTACTGGGAAACATCCATACACACTGATTCACACATATACACTACGGACAATTTAGTTTATTCACTTCACCTGTACTCCATGTCTCAGACCACTGAGTCACCCTATATATATATATATATATATATATATATATATATATATATATATATATATATATATATATATATATATATATATATATATAATTCCGATAATGAACATTTATATCTGACTCTGAATCAGGTCATATTCTGCATTTTTTGTAAAGTATAATTTAGCAAATTAAATAAATAAATATGTATATATATTTTTGATTTTAGACAACTAGTAACAAGAAAAAATCATCGAAATAAAAATTATGTCAATATATTCTCACTTTCTTTTACAGAGATTGTTTTTTGAGAAATGTCTTTTAAATCCACACAGTGCATGTGCAAGTGTAAACAAAACTGACGTTCATTTTTACATTGTTCCATAGAACAAAAACAAGTCTTACAGGTTTCGAACCGCATCATGGTAAGAAATGACAGAATTTTTTTCTTTTTTTGTCCTTTTATCTGTACTGAAATGGCTCGTCACGTGCTTTAGAAAGCACATGTTCTAGAAATGATAAACAGTTACTTAATCAGAAGCCTAAACATGCTAAATTTTTGCAATTTGAATTATCATATGAAACTTTAAAAAAGCAAAAAAAAAGAAAAGGAATAGACCATGATGCCTACAGTACACATATTACGTTATAATAAAGCAACAACAAAAAAACTAATGAAGCTCTTCATATTGTTAAAGGTAACACCTTAATTTAAATCATAATATACGGAATTAACAAATCATAAACTAGCACTTCTAGCTTGATAAACAATTGATTAGCTGTTTGTTAGTTAGTAGGATAGAAGTTGGGTTTAAGTTTTGTATAGGATTAGGGATTCTGAATAAGATCATTCTGTATAATTACTAATGAATTATGTTTATATCTTTATAATAGGTAATAAGCCAGTAGTTAATATCTTGAATTATGAGCTAAACTAAAGTATTACCAAGTCAAACCTAGACTAAGCAGCTGTCAATAACCCACTAATTTTGTCCATATTCTATTTTGGCTCCGAGCTCTTTTGTTGCAAAAGAGATCAAAGTAGTAAGCACTCGCATCTGTAGAGAGGAGTTACCCATCACTAGTAAAATGAGTTGTGCCATGTCAACCCAATCCAGATTGCCCAGCACGGCCATGACCTCAGAGTACAGTTTGTTCTTCTGTTGGGGAGGCATCTCCATGATGATCTGATGTAGAGGATGGAATTTGCCACTAGTCATCCACCATCCAAATGCACCTCCCAAAGCACCGCCTTTAAGCATCAAGAAAACAAATAAATTAAGTGTATTAACTTTCAATTGTAATCAAGCTAAAAGACCTTAAAATCCACTGTGTTGATTGATTTATTTGTACTTTATCTGTATGGTTTAATTATAATTAGAGATGTCAAAGAACACTTTTTTTTGCTGTTTCAGTGTGCAATTTTTATTTATTATTATTTTTTATTAAACTTAATTATTGGTAACTTTTTATTGTGATACATCCACAATCACACACTTCCCAACTATCCACTTGTCATAAACCTATTTAAGTTTCTTTTTTTCTGTTAAATATGAAAAAAGATATTTGCTAACAAAAGCTGGAAACCTGTAACCATTGACTTCTACAGTATTTCTTTTTTACTTACTTTGGAAATCAAGGGTAAGCAGTTTCCAGATTTCTTCAAAATATCTCTCCTTAGGTTCAACAGAAAAAAGAAACTCAAAATGGTTTGGAACCACAAGAGAATGAGTAAATTTTCATCTTTGGTCAAAGTATCCCTTAAACTTCATGATATAGAGAAGTGGTTAATGAAATTCTGCTCAAGCTGTCAAACTGACTTAAATCAATTGCTTACAACAACAACAACAACAACAACAACAATAATAATAATAATAATAATAATAATAATAATAATAATAATAATAATAATAACTGTCATTATTTCTTCACCCTTGACTTGTTACAAACGACAAGTTTTTATTGTTGTTGTTCCTTTAAAAAAATAATAGGATATAGAAAATGTCATAAATAATATTTGCTTTTCCTTCTATAGATGTCATAGTTACATGTTTTCAGATATATTTTCTTTGGTGCTCAACATAATAAAAAAAAAAAAAAAACTCAAACTGGCTTTGAAATAAACTGGCTTCAAAGTGTGTAAATGATGTATTCCCTTCCATTAAATTCCTCTAAAAAGGAATTTTCAGATTTTGATAAACCAAGAGATTTTTAACAAGGACTAAATTGCACAAAATAACTGTTCGCCAGAATATCAAAGTACGCAAACAAAGTAGCCTAAATACTGTCAATTTTGATTTCATGACAGTATATCAAAGATATACTTTATTTTAGATTGTATTAAAGCACCACCTAGTGGTTACAAAGTGCATTGGGTTAAAGTTTACAGATGACATCAAATCAAGCACACGAGTGTACATACATACCAATAAATATACCGGGTGGACCTCCGAGCAGACCACCTACAAAAGCCCCTCCGCCGGCTGCTGCAGCCCCTTTGCTGGAGTTCTGGAGAGCCGCTTTAATCTGTCTGCTCTCTGAAACCCTACAGCAGAGACCCATCACATCGTCTATTTGACGGTTCATTATGTTGTGCTAAAAAAAACCCACAGCCTACATGGAGAAACATGAATCAAAGAGCTGTCTATTCTCAATTGCAGAAAGACTGAACACTGTACACAATGCATTTAACATATTGTTATATAAAACAACAACCAGCTGTATGTAGCCTATGATGTTGTGAGGAAAAACAAAACTAAACTAAACTAGTTACACATAATAACATATCTACAATAAAGACCTACGACTGTTTTATTTAACGCTGTGCCACGTAACAAATTAATTCAGAGCTTTGGTAAAACTTGCAGACTTCAGCCTACCTCTGCTTCTGCTTCGACTTTACTTTCGGATTGAGAAATCAATCTGCGAGTGACGTCATCATCACGCTTCCGCGCTCTGCTCCTCCGTCTATAGGTGGTGTTATGGTGCTTGTTTGATAATCATTTAATTTATATCAGAGTTTGACCGCAACATAATACAACTTTGATTGATAAACTGTCAAACAATTAGCAAGAAAACAGTGCAATACTCTTCTCATTAGATCTACCTGTTTAAAATGTACACCTGTCATGAAATTAATCCTGGGTATAGTACAGTGTCCATGCAGCAAAATAAAAAATTAAAAAAATAGAAAATTAAATCTAGCTTTTAAATGGATACTTTCTATGGATGCTATACAATAAGATATTTGTGCAAATAATTTTTTACACAACAAATTAGTCATAATCAAGCCAAACAATCAACAGCTGAAATGTATATTGTTTTGATCAATTTTGCTTCTAAGTCATTTTAATATAAATAAAATAATGTGTACATATTTATTTAGACTTTGGAAAATCTAATTTCAATGTCTAAGTCGCTTTGGGGGAAAAAACAAATGTCTTGTATACAAATAAATGTAATGCAAATTTAAATGTGGCTGTTTTGCATAAAGGTGTAGACGGTTCTTTTTGTAACACTAGAGCATGAAGAATGATTGATTATTTTTTTCCCACTGAGATGACTAGTTTAAAATTCCAGGAAATAACTATTTTCCTGTTTACTAAGTGTATGAGGATAATGATAGTGTAAAGAAGAGCCCGAAATATATTGGGGGAAAATGAGAAGATGAAAAAGGGAAGAGATAACCTTATAGAAAAAGCTTTTAAATATTTTGCAGGCTAAGGAATTATATATCCTTTTTCACTTCCATCCAAAGCAAAACCCAAAACAAGCCCCTCTTAACATAGTCATCACACAAAATACAGTAGGAAATGGTAGACATTCTGAAAAGAGTCAACTATATGCTGATTTATTTAGCAAACCCTCATCCAGTTTTAGTTCATTTACCAAAGAATAGCCTAGGTGGATGTGTAATTTCTAGGTCTGAAATTTTGTCAGCAGCCTGGCCCTGTCTTCACAGTCATATCCAGTACAACATTTGTTACTTCATGCAAACATCTTCTTGTTTAATGAACGTATAAAAGCATCATGTCCTGTAATCATTTAGTAAGTTTTACTTGGAGACATTTCTATTGCTTTGACTGATTTTAAATTTTTGGTCGCTGCTCTAAATGGTCAACTTTCACTTTACCCACTGAGGTGTCAAAGTAAATACAATAAGAAAAAAAAAAAAAAAAACATCTTGGAACAGCCAAGCCATAAAAGACAATCACATTTATAGGCTGATGCAGTCAGTGAGATAATCTTAAAAATGCAGTATTTTTATTCAGTGGGGATGCATTAACCTGATTAGAAGTGAGAGTAAACATTTCTGTTTCAAAGAAATAGTGTTCAGTTTAATCTTTCTTTACATTATTGAATCTTGGGGGAAACTAAATGAAAATCTGATCTATTAATTGATCAGCAGCAAACCTGTAAATTAAATGAGTTCTGAAATATCACGTGGCATAGAAGACTGGAGTACTGATGCTGAAGTCCAGTGTCTGGGAGCTGACTTGCACATGCATGCTCAGACATGAAGTCTCAGACATAGACACATGCACTTCAACAAAGCAAAAATAAGCTCTTATAACAAGAATAAAAAATACATTTTAAAATGGTTCACTTCTGTTTGGATGTCATGTCAGAACTTCTTAAAATAACCAATAAACACATGCAACAGATGCACGATGATACATAGCTAAATAGAGCATTTTTAAATCAATATTTGTTTATAATTACTTTACTGCCAGTTTTCTGAAGTGTTTCTTTTATCATTACTTTAAGTTGCCAAATGAATAAATGTCCTAAATGTCTTAGAAAGCTGACCTGTAACATTAACTCTAGTGGTCAATCCTCAAACTTGACCTCAGCTTTAAGCTGGTTTTTAGTATAACTGAGTATAGCACCCAGCACTTGCTCTTGTAGAGAAGAATTCCCATGAACCTGAGCCATCAGCTGAGGAACGTCAGTCCATTTGAGTGAACCCACTATGGCCATGACATCGGAGTACAGTTTGTCCTGCTGTGAAGGAGTCAGTTCCATGAGGATTTCAGGAAGAGGTCTGAACTGGCCACTGGTCATCCATGCTCCCAGCGCACCTCCCACTGCAGCACCTTCGATAAATCAATATGGTATCAAATGACATGATAATGACATGCAATGATGATACAGCACCATCATGTGGTCAAACAGAGAGTTTGCGGCTTTGCGCATGCAAAATAAACATCTGAAAACGCACCGAGTGCAATGCCAGCTGGACCTCCAATCAGTCCTCCGACAAAAGCACCTCCACCGGCAACTGCTGCTCCTTTCGCCGAGCCTTTAAATGCGGCTTGTATCTTCTTATCGGCGGAGATTTCACAGCAAAACTTTATAATATCATCTTTTCGATTCGCCATTTGAGGTGTTATTGCCTAAACCGGGCGATAAACAACGATAAATGAGTTCAAACTCAAAAATATAAGCGGTATTAACGCTGTAAGTAGGTAGCTAATATAAAAAAAATCATTTTAACCATTTCGTAGCTCTTGATTTTTCATGTCAATTTACTACAAACTGTAACTTTAAAAGTCACTTGCCAATAGCCTTACTTTTTTAGACTAATAGACGTTTTAGAAGGTTTAAAGTTCTTACCTGAGGTAGCCTACTAATGCAGAGTTGGATCACGTTCAAATTACTTTCGGTCTTACCCTCATGGCTCTTATGACATGGACTTCCGCACTTTGCAGCTTGTGCGAGCCATTGTTCTTAGCAGTCATTTGAATGTTGACTTCAGTCACTCTGATTTTAATCAGGTAGAACTGTAGTTTACCCATGCAGCAGGAAATTCACCTGACATGACAATAAACTAGAAGAAAGAACATTTCACTAATTCTTTCATAAAATTAATACGTTAAAAGAAGTTCACTCAAGTTTAACATACACCTTAATCCATCACAGAAATTGAATTTTTATTATGTATAGAATTGATCCACAGAAATAACTTTATTAGAGTACTTCCATTGTGCACAAGAAAGTAATGTGCTTCACACCATACACATGTTATTGCTTTTTGTTTTAATAATAAAGAAGAGAAGTTGCAGAAAAACAGGAACAGTGGCAGATCTGTCTGTCGTAATTAAAAAGGAAACACTGCTGCTTGCTTTAACTCTTTATTGGTCACTTTCCATACTGCAATTCAGCATTGAGCTCTTTCGTGGCAAAAGTGTGTATAGCAGCAAGAACTTGCTCCTGCAGAGTGACGCTTCCCATAACCAGAGCAATGAGACTAGCCACATCTGTCCAGTTCAGAGAGCTCAGAGCAGCCATGATATCAGAGTACAGGACCTCCTTGTATTTAGGGGGAAGCTCCTCAATTATCTCAGGAAAAGGTTTGAATTGGCCACTGGTTATCCAAGTTCCCAGGAGACCTCCCAAAGTACCACCTAGAATAATATGACATATAAGTATATCTGAAGGTCTGTAACATTAATAAACTCAGTGTTTAACATTCAAACACTACATCAAGGCAAACATTTATGAATTCATGATTTCAAATAATGATAAGTACCCAAAAAGGTAATAAGTATAAATTAAAGGGTTTTTTATTGGTATTGATGGTATTGTCTAAAAATTAGGTACTTTACATGAATAATTATTTTAGATTTATAAAAATTGTCCTTTGAAGATCTTTTCCTAAAAAGGTTGTTTGGGGAGCTAAAAAGTTTCTTCTTTGGCATCACAGTAAAAAAAGTTATTTTATGTCTTCCTAGCACCTTTATCTTTCAGAGTGTAATAGCCCAATTTGAAATCAAAACTTCTTTGTGCATTGACAAAAGTCTAGACTAAAGCCCTGAATAACCACTGACCCTAGAACCTTAAAAATAAGGTTGTGAAACACAGCGCTCAGCTATTAAATATGGTATTATAACACTCTCCTGTGATGAAATACTGTAGATGAAAGTTCATGTATTGCACTAAAAGAGGCTTGATTGATCCTACCAACAGCTATTCCGGCTGGGCCTCCGACCATTCCCCCTACAAAAGCACCTCCACCCGCTGCTGCTGCTCCCTTTCCAGAGCTCTTCACTGCTGCTTTGATCTTCCTGCTGGCTGAGACCTCACAGCAAAGCTGCATCACATCATCCACTCGACTGCTCATTGTCATGTCAGAAGAGACCCTAGAAATAAACAATAATAGATCATTTGACCTTTTACACAAGAATGAGAAGAATAGAAACTTCCATTCATATGCAAATGTAAACCAAACCTATTTTGATCAAGTTTCTTTTTGAGCATCAGGAACCATTGTAACTAGCATACTGTTGAAAGCATATTTATTTTTTGCGTAACACTCTCAGAAATAAAGATATGAGAGCATTCACTGAAGCAGTACCTTTGCAAAAAATATAACATTTAATCTAAAGTGTCCATATTTGTACCTCAATGGTACATATAGTCTGTAGAACGTATAAAAGTGTACATCTTGAAATCTTTATAAAGTTACTTATATATACAGTGCTCATCATATAAGTACCCCCCTCACAAATCTATCTTTTAAATTCACATTTTAATAGGAAGCTATTCAATATTATATTTGTGCATATATTGTACATTAGATTAGTCAGTACGGAAGCCAAATCTGGAACTTATCTAACAAATTAACTTACCATAATGGTCCAAAAACTAGTACACCCAAATGTTATAGAAAAATATTAAATACAAATTTAAACAGAGAAAAATCAAGAGAAATTAAATTTTTGCAATATTTTGCTTGAGTTTATTTGTATTATCTTTCAATTTCTAAAAATGTTTGGTGACTAAAATATTATTAATATTAATAAAATATATCTGTTTAATAAATCTGTTTTGTTTAAATGCACCAAAATACACTGCCTATATTCACAGAGAAATGGAGAAAAATATATATATATTTTAAATGGGGTTTACTCAAATATGCTCCGCACTGTATACTTTTAGGTACAGATATGTACCTTTTGAATATATAACTCCCAGAGACAGCTCTCATAACTGTATTTATGAGTTGATTTAGGTTTCTGTGCACTTAGTAATATTATTTATTTATATTTCATTAAATTCTGCTAGCAAATATGAAAAGTTTATGAACAAAATTTGTACACTTATTTGGAGCATAGCCGACATCAATAATGATATACAAATTTAATAAGCGCTAAAACTTTAGAACTTGTTTTTAAAGCACTTACCTTTTCTTTTTTAGAGAGGAGCTCCCTTATGCCTGTTTTATTCACGCTGGTTAAAGTCAGTGTGGGATTGCTCAAGTACTCCACACTTTCACTGTCTTCTCATCTGATCTGGTGTAATCTGTCTTGTGGAACCTCTCGATTTAAAGGGGCCATGAGCTGAAAATTTGAATTCCCTTTGAGCTTTTGACATCACTATACCACCAATTTGTAGACATTAAGAAATTAATTTAAAAAATAAGAGACAAAACAAAAGATTACCCATAAAAAATACTATAGTATTTTAAAATATATAATACTTTTTGTGTTTTACAGACAATTACTTGAATTAATCTGTTTTGGTAAATAGTTACTGTGGTAATACAACAGCTACTAATAAGTTACCAAATACATTAAGGTCTCTATATAATACTATACACCACACTGTTGTAAATCCTAAAGTATACTAGAGTATATAAAGTATATTCATTACAGTTTTTTTAGTTCACTAGTTATTGCTGTATGGGGTATAGCATTCATAACAATGCTGTAAATACACTTATGGTTAAAAACTATTTAAGTTACTAATGTTTTGTTTTTATTGTTGTACAGTGCAGAGTTGTTGTGTTTTGTTAAACATTACTACACTGAAAGAAAGTATGTATATTTATATAGCACATCTCTATTCCCATTACACACCAGCTGTAGGTGGAGAGACAATGATGGAGCCATTGATAGAGCCAATTCAGTGGATGTGGATGAATGGGAGGCCATGCAATACTGATAGAGGGATTTGGCCAGGATACTCTTTAGTCCCCCAGGATGTTTTAAAATAGTTTAAATGGCAACTTTGTTGGGACCTCAGTGTAAAATTTAATCTAAAAGACTCAATGCTCAATGCTGGAAAGTTTGAATGTCTCAATCCAGACAGAAAGACTGATTATATTTGATTTTATTGTCTTCAATCAAGTGGAGTCACACAGTAGTCTAGTGTAGACATATTATAACATGAGGAATAATATAATAGAAATAATAGTCATAAATATAGAGGATTAGTAAAATGCTGTTCATTTGTTTGTTTTGATTTCCAGCATTTTAGTTTTTAATGGAGATACAGTCTAACAATAGTAAAAAAAGTCAAAAAATAATAATAAGAAGAAAAGAGAATGCAGTGTCTGTTATGAAATCCAGTGCTATGTGTAATAACCATGATGAGTAACCATGTTTTTAAAGTAAACGTGCCATCATTACTTTTTCTATTATCATTTAACATTTACATGATTATTTATACTTTAACCAAAATAAACTGGTTGTTTTCAAGGTAATCAAGGCAGTATCCACATACATACAAACTCAAAACTGCAACTCAGTCAGCGCTTCTTTCCATGTCTTGAATGCAGCATGATTTTTAAAATCTCTCTAAATCCTTCAAACCTCAGCAAACATAGTAAAGGTGGAAATAAACAGTTCATTATGACCCTTTTATTTGTTTTATGTATGACAGGCGTCACACAATATAATAAATTATCCTACAAATCCTGCTAGTTCCAAACTTTAGACACTCAAATGAGATGAATAGATGAAATCCATTTTAATCTGTTTAGTCATGCTGAGATGTTTCTTATAAGGTGGGTTTTCTGACATTTTGAGATCATCAAACAAAATAAAGAAGTCTTTTGATCAGAGACTGCACCACACAGTGTAGCCCCTAGAGTGCAACATTACGTCTGTGATCCCACCACAATCACCCAGACCAGGGTGTGTTGAGGCAAATTGGAGCTAAACCATGCAGGGACACCGGCCCTCCAGGACCATGATTGGTAACCCCTGAATTAGAGGAACTGTAGGAGAACCAACAGTTTTAACCTAAAAATGATCAGCCTGAAATTCCAAACAATATTCAATTGAATTCAATTCACCTTTATTTGTATAGCGCTTTTACAATGTAGATTGTGTCAGAGCAGCTTCACATAGAAGATCATAGTAAATTGAAACAGTGTAGTTCCGTTTTCAGAGTTTAAGTTCAGTTCAGTTTAGCTCAGTTCAGTGTGGTTAAATAATCACTACTGCAACTCCAAACACTGAAGAGCAAATCCATCGATGCGCAGCTCTACAGATCCCAAACTCTACAAGCCAGTGGCAACAGCGGCGAGGATAAAAACTTCATCAACTAGCGAAAGTCAGGAATTAAAAAAACTCAGCAAAGACTCATATGTCCCTGAAGCGTCACAGGAATCATGACCACCACAGCAGCTGCACAGGATACAATATCTTTCAAGGCATTGCATACAAAAGTCAGACAGCCACTATAGGGTATTCAAAGCTGACCCCAGACCTGTAATACTGATTCACAAATGAATAGAACACACACACACACACACACACACACACACACACACACACACACACACACACACACACACACACACACACACACACACACACACACACACACACACACACACACACACACACACACACACACACACACACACACATAAAAAACACAATCGGTTTCTTACTCAAGGCTTAGTGT